GTTCCCACACCCTCCTAAGGATGAAGAGTTGTTAGATATCCATAAAGAGGGGCTGTTTAAATAAATGAAGGTATATCTACAGGGATATTATATTGCCACAGAAATATAATCACTTATAGTAGTATACATATAGTTGGCTACGTGGGTTTAAATACTATGTTCTGTTACTTACCAGATAACACTAAACAAGTTACCTAATTTTTCTGAGTTTCAGTTTCTTCAGTGAAGATGACAATAGTATACCTGTTTCTTAGGACTGCTGAGAGACTCTACTGAGCTAATGCATATTAATTATTTAGAATGGTGCCTAGCACACGGTAATCACTCTATTTTAAGACTCAGCATTGGGTTTTAAAAATTATAATCCTACAGAATACTAGAGAGAGAAGAATAAAGTAGCATACACATATATTAGTTGGTAAAACTCTCTAGTGCACACTAGGGGCGTTCCAGTATTTAGTCTTCTAACTCTTCACATTTTTAATGGAGGAAAACCACTGTAAGTTTTCTACAGGTGATAAAAGGATGTATATGGAAATAGAAGAAGTAGATTGATTGAGGCAGCGATCCAAAGGGACTTTCTATTTATTTTTTAATACATAGGTGGAAGGATAGAGAAAGATGATACATACATGACAGAGAAGGCTTGAGGGTAAAAGACTAGATAGATAATGGGTGGGTAGGTGCATAGAAATGAATGGATGAACGACACATAAAACACTCATCTTCGTAACTTTAAATGTAAAAGAATGAATAAAAAAAGGCATGAAAAGGTATAAATTACTTGTGTTCTTTCTTAATGAGGAGAGGGAAGACGAGAAAGGGATCCACTAAATACCTAAACACAAAGCCAGCAAGACCCTGGGGGAGGATTTGAGCCCAGCTGTGTCCTTCCCAAGGCCCTTCCACACCCCACACTGCCGCTAGAGACCACCCAGGAGTCGGATGTGACAAAGGTAGCAAGAAGGGGCCTTCATGTCTATAGAGGCTAAAGTGGCCCCGACAAAAGTGGCTAGGATTGTACTGGTTTTGTTTCTCATTAGTGAACCTGTTGGAATGTGCCATTCAGCAGCTTAGCTCAATGGTTCCTGCTGTTCCAGCAGAACCACAGCCACCTCCCGGCCACGTTCTGGTCTTGTCTGCTGGGGACTGGGAAAGGGACAGACCAGTCAGAGGGCACCTGCCGCATCCGCCAGGAACCCGGTCTGCAGACTGCTTCCCTGGCTCCTGCCTCACTCATCCACCTCCCCCGAGGATCGCTGTTTCCCACAAGCATCCAGGAAGTCTGGTTTGCATCTGCCTCACTCCTCGATGGCCTCAGTGACACACAGTCAGTCAGTCACCTTTTCAACTTGACCTAATGATTCTGAGAATCTTTTCCTGTTCTAAGAGCCACAGAAGATAGGAATTTTCCTTGATATTTTGTTGTTGTTGTTTCTGTTCTTCCTTGGCAAACGCGATACTTAATTAAAACCTCTGGCCATTTTAGCTGCCTTTGAAGTTCTTGGAAAAACTGTCCTAATCTAGATGAAAACACCACCAGTCCTTTCCCTTTTGATTCTAGGAACAGATGCCTGCCTTAGGATGGCAAGGGGTCAAGGAGAATTGGAAAGTGTCATAACTGACTGAATGCATGCTTCACCACTGCTGGGTGGCCTTGCAGAAGCATAACTTCATTTAGCCTCAGTATTTTCCATCTGAGAAATGGATGCAATACCTACATTTCAGGTTGCTTCAGAGTTAAGATAACATCTTTGGAGTGCTCGCACACCAGCGCAGGTCTGAAAGCTTCCTTCCCTTTCCTCTTGCCCAACAGCATTCTTCTCTGGCCAGGCTTGCCAAGATGCTGTTAGCCTTGGTACACATGGTATGAACACTCACACGCACGTACACGCACGCACGCACATGCACGCGCGCACACACACACACACACGCACACGCATGCACGCACGCACCACTAGTTGGTTTGCCCTTCTCCCGAATCCCAGAATTTCATTTTCTTTGCATCTGCTTGCATGTGGGAGTGAGAGGGCACAGATCAGGTTCCTCTAAAATGGCTTCTTTGCTAACAACACTTCCTATCTGATGCTGAAGGAACCACTGTCAATACAACTCAGTGATGGCAGGGCTATTCTCCAAGGCTGGAGCTGCTCCTCCAGGCCTAGGGGCAGCCCTGACGCCCTTCCACCCCCACCAATTACTCCTTGTGAGTGGAGACAGAGACAAGGGTTTGGCCTTCTGAAGCAGAATTCTCACTACCCCTCCCATCTCTGCAGAAATCGCGTGTGTGCTTGCACGCACGAGCGCGCGCACACACACACACCACACACACACACCCCACTCCAATTTTTAGAGTGCTCTGAGTGTTACCTATCCTTTCCCGAACTAAGGCAGCCAGATAGCCTGGCCAGGGCTATCTCCTTCATTCCCGGCACCCCAACCCCTACCCCCCTTCAGAGTCAAGGTTTTGAAGGAGTTTCAGGGGCAATGGCTGGTACGGAGAGGGCCCCAAGTGAGGTGACTACTGCCAAATCTCTTTCTTTGCCCCACTGTGTATCTGATAAGCCTCTGTGTAGTTTATTCTTCTAAACACTTTGATAGGGTACAGGGCCTGCAGTTGCCATAGAAACACCTTTTAACTCCTCCTCACCCAGAAGGTTGTACCAGTCCCCTGGGCTCTGGAGAAGAAAGGGAAAAGAGACACCCGTGGATAATGAGACAGAAGAGGGAAGGCCTTTGTGGGATGGTGCTGGGCCTTACTAAGGGCTAAGCTACGCATGCTGTGCCCTTCTCTCTGGCAGCATGGCATCTGGCCAGGAAGAGAGTCCATGCAGGAAGGATCTAGAAGGGGAAGGTGGCAGACTAGCTTGAGCATACTTAGGGGACTCCAGTGGCCGGAGGACAGTTGGGAGCCATCTACTGGAGGCGGCACAGTGTGCTGCTATCAGGCAGCAGGTCAGCAAGCCAGCAGGCCCACACCCACACCTCCCATTTTTAAAAGCATTATCTCATCCCTTGTGCAGTGCACCAAGCTAAGGGCCGAGTGAGTCTGGATCACCGCCAGAGCGAAGATCTCTCTCTCTCTCTCTCTCTCTCTCTCTCTCTCTCTCTCTCTCTCTCTCTCTCTCTCTCTCCCTCCCTCCCTCTTTCCCTCTCTCTCCTCTCTCTCTCTCCCTCTCTCTCTCTCTCCCTCCCTCTCTCTCCCCCCCTCTCTCTCCAGCTCTCTCTCTCTGCTACTACACGGTTCTCTTCTGGGTTTGGCATATTTCTTGGTAAGTTAACTTTTCTCTGGGAAGTGTATGAAGAGGAAGAAGCTGCTTTCTGAATAAATCCGTAGAAAGTTCAAGAAACTTCATCAGTTCCCACCCACAGTAGGGCTCTTATGGAAGTAATGGGCTGATTGCAGGAGAGCCCGTGGGAACAGGATCTACTGGCTCATTCTCCACTTTCCCATGAACTTCAGGGTAATAGGCACCTGGGATAGAGATGTGATCCCTCTCTCCCCTACACAAACTACAAAACCAAACTGAACACACACATTGTGAAGCAGGAATACCCAGACTCCGCCTGCTAGCTCACAGTCCAGGAGCCCAGTCTAAGCCCAGCAAAACCAGAAGTCCTGGTGAGAGGAGAGAAAAGTCAGAGGAATTTGGGTGGGGGCACTCAGGAGGAAAAGGCCCCAGCCTCCAGCAACCCAAAATGATGCTTCCCAGCAGCCCCAAGGGCGGGGAAGGGTGTGCCTGCAGGTCCCTGGAGACCTCCAACAAGGGTGACTGCAGGTCACACAGACACCCTGGGCTGCCAAGTCCACTGACCTGACCACCATAGCCACCTCCCAGATTTCCCCCTAGGCTGGCCAGACCCACCAACAGTGACTCCAACCTCAGTAGCCTCCCCAGCCTGGTCACCACCCCTCCCCCTCCTTACCAAAGCACACTTGCAGAGTGGGATCCCTCACCCAAGACCAGTGGAAAATTTCCTTCTCCTTTATGACTATACTTAAAACACACACACTCCATTCTTCACCTCTGAATCAACACAGGCCAAGGGCAACTCCGTTGTCCCACCCCTGCCCTGCAAACACACAGCAGGGACATTGGACCAGGTGATTTAGGAGCTGGAGGGGAGAGAGCTTTTCCGTCTTCCATTCCACCTGGGGCCCTCCAAACACAAGTGTCCCCAGCACTCATGGGGTCCTCTGGAAAGTGGGCTCTGACTCTTATCAGGGCTCTACAATCAGCAGTCTCTGAGACCATCATCACAAGTGATGAGACCCTTGGTATCTTTGTTCTTTTGGTGACAAATCTGCTTTCTCCATTATTCACTCTCCCTCATCATATACATTCAAGAAAGAAAAATAATATTAATAACCTTCCTGTGAATTTTCACAACTCTGTGCTCAGTGATCCTCTACAATCACCTCAAGCCCATCATCAGTTCTCATGCAGTTCTCCTAGGGAGGGGTCGAACCTACAGTTTTCTCCTGAGTGTGTGTGTGTGTGTGTGTGTGTGTGTGTGTGTGTGAGAGAGAGAGAGAGTGTGTGTGTGTATTGTGTGTGCCCTTCCCTCCAAACTTGGCAGGCAAAAAACTCCATTAGCACTTGCTGGGAGAGCCTGCAGCTAGGCTGGGCTGGATCTCAAGGAAAAGAATGAAGTTCAAGGACTCGGGAGATAAGCAATCTCTGAAAGCTAAGAGTTTTCTCTTCACAACTCCGCCACCCGCACAAGCTGGCAACTTCTTGTGAAGAGTACTCGAGGTCCCAGAGCTACAGTTAGTGTTCCAACTTTTCAGAACCTTCTCCCACCCTCCTCCTCCAGCTCTTTTCCCTTCAGGAGTCAAAGGGGGAAATTTTCCAGATGTCACTCCTGCCGGCCAGAGACCACGAGGACACTGTTTAGGGTCCCTTTGCAAGGCATCTCCTGGCACAGAGTCCCCACCCAGGGAAACCGAGTCTCCCACTACAGTTTGCGGCTTGCTTAGGGCCTCCCAGAGCGCTTACCGATATCGGAGTTGCAGAAGGCATCCTGGGGATGACTGGGCGAGCATGTGCATGCCTCCGCGCCCCAGTGCCCAAGGCTCCAGCAACCCAGGAGCACGGCAAGCCCAAGCCAGGGAGTCATCGTAGCTGCTGCGGTCCTCTGCGGGGACTGCTGCTCTTTTCTTCAAAGTTGCCTAGTGCTGGCGCGGCTACTTCAGTCCGAGCTCACTCGCCAGGTCTGACCGTGCACGCTGGGCAACTTTGAGCTCCGGAAAGTGCCCTCCCCTCCAAGTAGCCCGGCGGGACGGGTTGGGAGGCGGCAAAGTGGCCTTGGGTGACTGGAGCAGGAGTCCGCGGAGACAGCGAGTGGCCTCTGGGAGAAGGATCGGGAATCAGAGCGGAGAGGCGGGAGAAGAAGCTTCCCGGCGCTGGCGGCTGCCCGCTGCCCACTGTGTGCAGAGTCCAGGGCTGCAGAGTGATATAGGGGCGCAAGGGAGACCCAGCCCCTCGGGAGCTCGGGGGCCGCCCCCTCCGACCAATGGCAGCGCCGCATTACCTCATCGTCCCTCCAAAAAGGGGGCGGGGCCGGGGGGCTCGGGGCGGCAGGGCGGGGCTGGCCCGGACTGTTCAGATCCTTATAGGGAATAATGCGGTTATGGGCACTCGAGTGGGTGGGCTGGGTGCGTCCTAGGTCAGTGTGAGCTGTAGTGGCGCCCCACGGTCCGGCTGCCTTACGCCCACCGATCCTCCGAGCGCCTTCGGCCCAAACAAGTGTCCACTCCCAGCCTCCTAGCCAAGCAGCACAATCCCTTCCAAGGGACCCAGGTGGCCCTCACCCTGGAGTCCTTGATCCTACCTCCTGGAAAAAAAGTCTAAAAGGAAGCCTCGAAGAACATTTCACCTTCCTACCTTCTCTAGAGAGAGAGAGAAGAGGAAACACCTGGATTATCTCCTCACCCAACACACACACACACCCCTCTGCCTTTTGGGACTGGCTATAGTAGTTGTCACTAGGGGTAGATGGAGCCGTGGAGTCGTTCAACAACACTGTTCTGGATGCCAAGCCTTGCAAACAGGGTGATCATACTTGTGCTATGAGGGAACTAGAATAGATGTAGACCTGGGTTGGAATGATGAAGAGGGAGTTGCTCTCCGTGGGACAGTAAAAGAGTTCTCTGAGATGACATCATGCAGTGATGACATCATGCCAGGAGACGAGCAAGTGGAAAGGGTTGGATCTTCTTTGGAGGACAGAATATAGAATAAATGGGGAATATATATGACAGCAGGTCTCACTGGTGGCAGACAGCAAGCCTTCCTTCAGCAAGGAGCTTTGAGGTAAAGCTATCCAAAAGTGGAATAAGACCAGATCCCAGGAAAAACTATCCAGGATCCTGAATGACTAACTGTAACAGAAGAGTATTGGCAATGTTACCACCAAGCAGCCTCTTGATTGTGGTATGTGTGTGTGTGTGTGTGTGCGCGCGCGCGCGTGCGTGCATGTGTGTGTGTGTGTGTGTGCGCGCGCGGGCGTGCGTATATGATACACAAAAACTATTGTTCCGTCTCTTTGAGACACGGTCTCACTGTGTAGCCCAGGCTGACCTTGAGTCCAAGCTCCTCCTGTCTCTGGCTCTCCACTGCTAGTTACAGATACGCAGCACAGCGCCTGGCCTATGCTGTGTGTTTTAAAGCAAGAGTCCACACGCTACTCTTTCTAGTCAGGTGTCACATGTACCGCAGCTACGGAAACACCCAGAAAGGGGGCTCCTGTCATGGGCTCTCACTGACTCCTCTTACCAAAACAGACAGATGCCCCCGGACTTAGCAGTTCCATGTAACTGGCAGTGCTCTTACAGCAATCTCTCTCCCTTTCTCGCCCGCCTTATGCTACGTCTGCTTTAGCTACAGAAATGCTGAAAACTTAAAACAAAAAAGGAAAATGCAAAGGGAATGTGTTGGATTATCCCCAAGAGAAGAGACACTTCTTAATGACAGCAGCAGAGACTATTGTGATAACATTATTTCTGATTGTACTGCCCTTGTTAGGTTGGTTTTTGTCTTTTAGTGGTGTTGGTGCTGCTGTTATTTTGAGACAGTCTTATTGTGTAGCCTGGCTGACCTTCAGCTCTCCACCCTACTGCCTCAGCCTCACCAGTGCTTCCAAGAGCATTCTGTAAACTCCCTCCAAGCATTCCAGCGATAGAGAAGAAAGCCCAGTGCTCACATCTTTCTGTCTTGTCCCCGCACCTTCTGAGGGCCCTCCCCTCCTTAATTCTATCCCATGGTGATCCCCGCACCCTCTGAGGGCCCTCCCTTCCTTAATTCTATCCCACGGTGCTGTGGACCCTGCTTTGCTCTTCTGGCCCCATCTCCCGGAATATGGTTACATTGTTTCCCTCCCTGACACTTGGAGACCTGAGCTATTTGGCCACAATGCTTTTTTAGCCCTCAGAAGGTCCCAAGAGACTTGAGTGTGGATATAAGCAGTAACCACTTGAGGCCTGAGCCTTGGGCTCCATATGGGGCCACTCTGAGGCACTGGGTTGAATGAGGACATACTTGGTGGGATTTGAGAAATTCGCTGAACAGTGCCAGTCATGTGGAAGGCTTTAGAAGGACTTGGAGACAAATCCACTTGGGATAAGCATCTTACAGGCTAGAGGCCCTCTCCTCTCTTCTTTCCTATTACAAGGCCATTTTGTCCCAAGTGCGGTTTGTTTTTTTCTCGGAGGGAGAGCCCTTTCTGGAACACAAGACAAGGGTCAAGCGGCTACTTTGTTACATGTCACAGAGCAGATTCCTCCAAGAGGATAACTGAAGTGTGTCTTGTTCTGGCAGCTACTTCTGTCTCAAAGTGTAGATGTCCTTGGGCTGTTTTCCTGAAAGGTGCTAATGTGGGTTTAATTCCTTTTGATTCTTCTACGTTTGCTTTCCCAGAATTTGGGGGCTTCAGAGAACACAACGAGCACTGTGGCCAGGAGTCTTCTCTTCTGCCTGGGCTGAGAAGCTCTTCTCTGTCTACCTCTGCAAGGTCAGCTTAGTCATGACCCTGGGAACAAGACCGAGGGTGCTCTGTGAGTCCTCACGTGGATTTTGCAGCAAGTAGACCTTGCAACCGTCCACTAGACATCAAGTTGTCCACCAGACTAATAATATGTAGCACTAGCTTTTTCTAGTCGTTTCAGTGAACAAGACTGAGTGGACTTGGAGCTTGGGTGAGAGTGGAGATAATGGCTCTCCTGCTTTCTTCTGAAAGCCAGAACAATGGCAGATTTACAAATCTGGGGAGAGCTGAAGAAGCTTCAACCAACACCTGGCTTGTCTTCAAACTACCAGGCTCACCGAATCCCTCTGTTGGAACTTCTCTAGGAAGGTGAGGGCATGCCCACTTCCTGTGTGTCCGATTTTAGAGCATTGAGCCTGTAGGAGGTGTTTGCTTAGACATCTAAAGGCACAGAGTTGCTCAGAGACTGCTCATCTGCACATTCTGTGTGAGAAAAGGATGCTTTGGATGAAAGAACAGTGTCCCACAGTCTGTTGTGAACACTAGTTCCTTAGCTTCTATCTGCATCACAGGGCTAAGTCTTCCGGGCTAGGGCATTCGATAAATGTGTTTCCATGCCCCATAGCCGGCTCACAGAGAGCTACTTCCTGAGTCCCTGACTACACACAAAGGCCCGTTTAAGCTGACCAGCACTGTGTGGTGCTGTGAGACTAAGAGGACAACTGCCTGTGTCTGTGTTTCCCTTCCTATCTTACTGCACCGTACCCTCTGGAAATGTCACAGACGCCGCTGCTGTCCAGTCACACTCACAGCCCAGTGGACAAGTCACTTCCCTTGTTCAGGCACCAATCTCCATGTTTATTGGATAAAAAAATCAACTATGTGATTCCCAGCAAGATGCCCCTTAGTAATTAAAAAATGTCTATTATTCCCTGGGAAATTCTCAAAGACAGGTGAATGGTGGTGAAGGACGACAGATCCCCCCACGTGAGCAGGTTTGACACCAGTCTAACAGCACTCCCATCCTCCTCTGTCTTCCAAGACACGGGCTCGAAACCAAGAATGCCAGGGCAGACCGTGAGGACAACGGAGCAGGAGAAACTTGGGGTCTTGTTTCTGGTGGAGCCTCTTGTAGTTACCAATTCATCTTTCTGTTCGTCTTTTGGATTGGAAGCATTAAAGGGACGAGAACAAAATTTACTGGACTCTCATGCCCTCCCTGTCTCTGCTTAGATGTTTTACCTCCACAACATAGCCTCTTCGTTCCCTTCTCCAGGGTTCCCCTCTGCATCCTGTGCTCGTTTTCACATGTAGCTGACTCTAATATGGTTGCTCATCTGCCAGTTTCCCTTCCTGAAGTGTGAGCCCCTTAAGGTTAGCACATTGGCAACAGGGTTCAGTTCCGTTATGACTTCTTGGATCCAAAGGTCCATACTAGTTCTGCTGCCCAGTGTTGGGCTTGGAAGGTGGCAGCTCTTCAGAGGGGGCTCATCGAGCCTATCCCCGTGGCTAATGCCAGGGGGCGCTGTAAGACAGAAAACACCGGTTCTCTGAGCCTTCAGCCTGCTAGACTCATTGAGAAGCCTAGAGAGGGACAGGTCCACACCAGCCAATGGGGTGCGGTGCCTGGAGTGGGTGAAGCGAACCCTTCCCGTCTGATAGCCACAAAGCTCCCAGTCAACATCCCGTCTGGTTCCACAGCTGCCCAGAGCTCTTCCACCCCCGCTGCGCTAAGGCTTACTTGGGAAGCGACACACTTGCGAATCACTGATTTGGGGGCCTCGGGGAGGTCTGGGAACACAGCGAAGGCTGCCTCAGTCCCACTCTTCAAGTGGCACTCTGGCAGTGCAACCCGGAGAAGCTGCTGACAAGCCTAGGTCACGACCACTGCTACATAAGGCAGTACCTCAGCTTCCCCCTCCCCCCGGACCCTAACCACATGCCTTTCCCCAAACCCACAGTCCATGTGAAAGTCATTACATTCAAAATAGCCTTTTCCAAGCAACAGTCAGCCTGGTCCACCCATCACCAGGAGCCCTAGCCAGACCCTCAGCAGAGATGCTGCCCAACACGGGGCAATTAGGAGCCTAAGAAGGTGGGTACTTCAGGTTCTCTCTGTGCCTGGTACCAGCGGGGAGTAAACACCTTTCTCAGCTCCCATCTGGAACCGATTTCATGGCAGTAAAATTGTAGGGCGTTACTCAGCCCAGCCCCCCCCCTCCGCCCCCAGCAGCTAGCTCCCCCACCCCCAGCCCTGCCAGGGAAGTGAAGACCCCTCTTTACGGTCTCTGGCTGTGTTCACGCGAATGCTGAGGTTTTCACATTTCTTTCCATAGACAACTATTCCCAGGAATTTTAAGCCAGAAAACACATGTGTGTGGTAGAGACATTTGTGTCCTGTGTTTTCTGGGGTGGTGGGAAATGGGAAGTAGAGTTAAATATTCCAATTCTTGGTTTTCGTT